CTGCACTATGAAGCAATCCACAGCCTCTGCAGCACGAGTTTGATCTCCAGCTGGCCAGGGAGCAACCCACATGGCGAGGCAGACCTCTCCTGTCTCGCCCGCTCTTCCCCTCAGCAGTGTGTTTCAGTCAATCTGCCTGTTCTGTTCTCCGCTCTGTCTCTGGTGAATCCTCTCACCCCTACACCTCTGGCCTATACCCCAGCTCTTGTATGCATAAATAAATAAAATCTTGAAAAAAAAAAAAAAAGAAAGAAACTCTGTTTGAAACCACGGTTGGATTGACCCTAGTTTCCTAAGCTTCACAAACTTTTTTTTTTTTTACTTGCTTTCATAAACAGCAAAGCCTGGACACGTATCTGCAGATGACACAACCTGAGCATGAGCATGCGCAGAGGCAAATGACCTTAAGTTAGACATCAAGCTGGTCCAAACTGAGCAATCACTGACCCTGCACCAAAAGCAACAGGAGCAGGGGCTACTGAGAGGCTCATCAGCTTACCTGAAGGAGAAGTCTTCATAAATGGACTATTTTATAACTGGCCAATAACCTTTAGCCAACTTCATCTTCCTGTGCTGCTGGTCTACTTCATGGCCAATAAAATTTAACTTCTTTGTCTCAATTTCCCTTTCCCAAATCAATTTACATCCCTTCCTTTCCCTAGATAAGCAGGCAGATTTGAGGTTTTTCTACCGCCTCTTTGCCAGTCATTTTGCAATACAGCTTCTTTTCTCAAAACCTGGTACCAGGGCCTCCCCGGTGGCACGGTGGTTGAGCGCTGGGTTGCGAAGCTGCCCGCAGCTTCTGCAGCGCTGGTTCGATCCCTGGCTGCTCCCCAGCCACCGGAGGAGGGTCCCACATGGCGCGCAGACCTCTCCTGCCGCCCGCTGCTCCCCTCAGCAGTGTACTTCGGTCCTTCTGCCTGCTCTGCTCTCCTCTCTGGCTCTGGTGAATTCTCTCACCCTCCCGCGCTTCTGACTGTACCCAGTGCTTGCATAAATAAATAAATAAATAAATCTTTATTTAAAAAAAAAAAAACCTGGTACCATAATAATTCACTTCTATGTGCATCAGGCAGTGAGCCCATTGCTTGGTAAATAAAGGGATTCCAATTACAACCTCCCCCCTGAAAGTTCCAATTCACCTTCTAGCATAACAAAAAAAAAAAAAAAAAAAGCAGGCTGCATCCTGGGGTCTTGGTTTCTCTGCAGTCCTCTCAAATATTTGATTTTTCTCTTATATACAAAGTGCTTCAGCACCAGCCTTACTCCTCAATGCCAATTTTAGAGTGTTATTCTCCCCTTCTCGCTTGAAAAACCCTTCTGCTCCTTTGAGGCTCACACCATCTGGTTATAACACTTTCCCTCCTCCATGTTAGAGTCACCTACTAGTAAACTGGGTCTTTCCTCTTCATTCCTGGTGAAACTAACTTGCAACTGTTTTCTGCTTCATGCCCTCTCCTGTTATCCTTCTTGATAGCTCCACCATGTATGCTGGTGATTCATTCAACACACTGACTCTTGCTTTTTGGACTTCTTCATATTTTCAGTGACTTTTCTTCTACTCTACCTCAGCCAGCCATTACTGGCATCTTGGCATTGACAAAAATGACACCACCTCCAAAATTCAAATGTGCTTCCTTCCAAAGCACTTGTCTGTTTTCATTATGCTCTTCAATCCACCCAGTCCTCTTCATCCATCTCTGTCACTAATTCCTCTTTCACCTTCATTTCTCTTTTTTTCTAGCTTGGATTCCATGACCCATAGTTACAGTTTCGTCCTTGTGACCTTTAACATCTGTGCCCAGTGGTGTGAGGTTTGGAGGTTTAATAAACAAAAATCCCTTCTCAGTTTTGAGTACTTACAAGAGAAAATTAAAACCTATGCAGCTAAAAGCAGATGAAGAGAGATTAATAGCCTTACTGATAAAGTTACCCCAGGAAACGTGCCTGTTTTTCAGCAAAGACAGCCTTTTTGAAACCAAGTCTCAAACTTAGCACTTAGCAATTGGAGGGTAAGGAAAAATGTCAGGCTTATCTGCCCTCCCGCCATCAGGATAGATGATGGATCCCTGCGGTCCTGAGTGCATGCCTGATGGCGGGCACCTGGAGTAGGGTGTGGGCATAGGTAGATGGGATTCACCTGGGCTAAGACTGGGCTTTTAAGGGCGGCGTCACAGGGACGCCAGCAGAAGCCGAAAGAGAAGCCGAGAAGCAGCAGAATGAACAGAAGAGCAGGGAAGCAGAGAGAACGCCAGAGAGCCCAGATAGAGTGAGGATTTGCTGGGGGCTGGGAGGCCTGCCAGCCTCCCAGGCCCCCAGCCCCCCTGCCTGCCATATGCCTGGTGAACCCCAATAAAAGCCTGCAAAAAGCCACTGAGGACTCTGACTCCTCCTTCACCTGGTCTGCATGGGATCCTAGAAAACCTGCACTGTGGCCTGTCCTGCCCTAACAGCGATGCACTGAATAACTGCGGCCTTCCCCCTTAACCTACACCAACGGGTCCACTTGCTGAGGCTCAGGGCATAGAGGAGCAGTGTAGAAATATGTTCAGTGTGCTGTTGAATCCCGAGAGAGAGATGAAAGGGTTGGCTTCACATATCCACTGACTGATGCCAACCTCATCAATAATGCAATTCACTCCTCTCCATGGGAGAAGGGCAGTGACACCCCCAACATGAAAAGAAAGATCAAACTTGGAGATACATTACCCCCAACAGCACCCAACTTTGTAAGCTCTTTCCCCTGTCAGTACCAGATCAGTAAAAAGCGATCTCCACAATATTTTTTACATATAATAAGATCTATATGATCTCATTAGATCATATAGAAAACACAAGAGAAAAATGGGTAGGTAGAATCACCTATTTTATAGGTAAATAATTGAAGCAATGCGAACTTGCTATGGTCATAGGTTACAGTTGATGTGGTAAACCCAATTTACTCAGAGAGGAGGTAGATTCATTTGTTTTTGTTGCTGTAACAAATTACTACACATTTAGTGGTTTAAAATGACACAAATTTATTATTTTACAGTTTTGGAGGTTAAAAGCCCTAAAATTAGGGTGTCAGCAGGGCTGAATTTTCTCAGGAAGCTCTAGGGAAGAATCCATTTTCTTGCCTTTTCCAGCTGCCATCAGCTAACTGCATTCCTTGATGTATGTTTTTCCTCCATTTTCAAAGCCGGCAGCCAGCAATATGAGCATCTTCAAATCCCTGCGGCTGACACTCCACTTTCCCTCTTCATTACACAGGGCCCACCTGGTTCTCCAGATTAATCTCTGCATCACAAAGCCTTAGATTTTATCATATAAACAAAGTGCTTTTTGTTAGGTAAGGTAACATGTGCATCAGATTCAGTAATTAAGACGTGAATATCTTTGGGTAGCCATTAATCATATCACAGGCGGGATGGAGGTGTTAGTATTTATTTCCAGAAGATGTACTGTCTCCTACCACATTTATTACTGAAAAAGCAAAAATGAATAAATACAAATTGATAGACCCTTGCTCAGTATAAGCATTATTGTTTATTGAATAAATATGCATACCACATACCTAAGAAAAAAGCTTTAAGGGTAAAGAACAGTTGAATAAAAAACACTACCAAATTAACATGACAAAGGTGAAGATGATCATTTAGATGATCAGCAACATTAACCTACCCAATTTTTCTTCATTGGGTATCAATGTTTTCCTACCTCATTCGGAATTTATTTCATTGCCTCCCATCATTTCATCTTTAAATTGGAAAACAATTAAATTGCTATGTATTTAAAGTATTTGTTGCACTTACTGTACTTGTTCAAGAAACAAGTATATTTCATTTAAAATTAGGCGAGCTGCAACACTTCTATATTCTATTGCAGGGTCTAGTCAGAGAAACTGATTAGTGAGTCACTGCTAAATTACTGACAGAAAATAACTGGTGAAAAAGAAGGAAAAGACATAGATTTGAAAAAAAAGTAAAACTGTCATTATTTACAGCTGATATAGTATATACGTAGAAAACCCTATAGAAGATACAAAAAAGGATATTAGAAGTAGAAAGTTTTTAGCAAGGTCTCAGATATAAAGATAATTTTAAAAAGTCAATTATATTTCTAAATATTAACAAACCATTGGAAATTGAAATAAAAAATACCATTTACACTAGCATAAAGATGTGAAATAATTAGGAATAATTTTAACAAAATATGTGCAAAAACTCTACATGGAGAGCTACAAAATACTGCTGAGTGAAATTAAAAAAGACCTAAAAAAAAATGGGGAGATATGTCATGTGCATGGATTGGTAGACTCAATATTGTTAAGACAGCAATGTGCCCAAACCAATCTATAGATTTAATGCTATCTCAGTAAAAATATCAGCATTTTTAGTACAATGGATTCTAAAAGTTCTTTTAGAAATGCAAAGAACTTTAGCTAAAATAAGTTTGACATAGTTGAGCAAAATTAGAAGAATTATTCAACCTGATTTCAAGAATTTCTCTAAAGCTGCAAAAACCAAGACGGTGTGGTGTTGGAATAAGGGTATATGTCAACTCATGGAAAGAAGAGTGAGTCTAGAAATAAGTCCAGGTATATACAATCAATTGATTTTATAAAGTGGTACTGATATAGAGAGATAGCTTTTCAGCAAATGGTGCTGGAACATTTATATATCTATATACAAAATCATGATCTTCAATCTTTAACTTGTAACATAAACAAAAATTAGCTAAAGAAACCATAGGCATAAATAGAATTTCCAGAAGAAATTGTAAGGAAAAAAATCTTTGTGACTTGCATTATGCAAAAATTTCTTGAATTAGACAAAAAATTATGAATAAAAAATACACAAACTTACTCAACAAAATGAAAACTTTTGTTCTCTAAAAAGATGTAATAGTTAAGAAAATTGAGATGAGTTATAGCAGGGAGAATATTTTACAAATCATAAATTTATCCAGATAAAGAATTCTTACAACTTAAGAAGATAATTGATTACAAAATGGACAAAACAATTGGACACTTTACAAAAGAATGTGTATAAATTACAAATAAGCATGAACATCATTAGCAATTAGGGACATACCATTATTTAAAGCCACTATTTGAATTACTAACATGATAATACCAAATGTTGGTGAGGAATTAGAGCAACTGAAAATCTTTTACATTGGCAATGTAAAATGGTAGAATCACTTAGAAACTAATTTGGAGGTTTCATAGAAAGTTAAACTTGTTTCTAAATGACTCGGCAATTCTACTTTTAGGTATACCTAAAGGAAATGAAGATACATGTCCACGTGAAGGTTTGTACACAAATGTTTATAGTAGCTGTATCCATAATAAACCAAATATGAGGAAAATATGGTTGCCTATTAACAATGGTGGATAAACAAATTGTATGAAATAGACATACAGTGAAATACTATTCATAATAAAAAGGAATGGATGACTAATCACACAACAACATGGATGACTCTCAAAACATGTCAGGCAAAGCAGCCAGACCTAGAAGAGTACATACGCATGATTGCCTTATGACGAAACACTAGAAAAGACCAATCTAATCTTTAGGGACAGAGCAGAGCAGTGGTTGAGTGTAAAGGAAGTTGTTTCAGATGATGGGAATGTTCTGGACCTTGACTGTGGTGATTTGGGTATTTACATTTGTTAAGCCTAACAGAATTTATAACTAAAAGGTGTGTATATTATTGTATGTAAACATACAATGTAGTACATTACACATACACTATTGTATGTAAATTAGCTGATTTAAACATAAAAACTAAGTGAACTAAAGCATTTATGTGTTTTTCCTTCAATATATTCTTCCCTTTTGGAATTCCATCGGCAACTCCACAAATCAACTCAGTGGGTAAAAAAGCTGTGTGGCACTGGACAAATGAGTTATTACTCTGAATTTTCATTTTACTCATCAGTAAAATGAGTGAATTAGATGAGATGACTTCATTTGTTCACGCAGTAAACATTTATAAACCCCACTATGGGGCATGCACTAAGTCAGGTTCTAGGGATACAAATCTGAAAAAGAAACCATGTTTGCCCTTCAGTAGTCTTTGTCTAGTGGAAGAGAAAGAAAAGCTAACGCATGAGTATGATATAGCTTATATATACTTAGGGTATCAGGAGAATTCATAAGATTAGTATTCTTTCCTGATGACTCATTTCCTGAGTTGAGCTTCGAGGTGCAAGTAAGACTTAGGTAAAGAGGGGAGAAAAGGCATTCTAAGCTGAGGGTGTTACATGAGAAAAGGACCAAAAGTGAGAGACCTACCATGTGTGTTAGGTACAGCAGGAAACTTAGTAGGTCTGGAAGACGGAATTCATTCATTCTTGTAAGGTGATGGTGTGTCTTGATTGAAAAAGTTTTAAAAGATTCCTCTAGTTTAGCCAATTTGTAGACAGGGGTCCTATATCAAATAATGATACCCATGCTGCGTGGATCACCTAAAAGGGAAAGTAAGCTCACCTTAAGACTCTTTCTGCACCAAAGGGGATCTCTGGCTCATGTGACAAAATGGCGCAGGGGTGGACGGGTGGAGTGTGATATGGGGATCAATGAGATTGACAGACCAGGTGTTCACTTTCCTTTCAGGGGCTGTCACATCTCCAGACAGACCCTAGATTCTCATTTCTTTTCACATTTAGCTTTCCTGGAATAATCAACAAAAATCTCACAATCACATTTCTTTGGTCTTAACTTTCACCCTGTGGCCAGAGGGCTCGTACATGTTGTATGGCCTGTCAGGATCCAGAAATCCCTGGGATGGGAGTCAGCCTTATCTGAAGCAGATGGAGAGGGGATGGATGTCCAAATAAAAATTAGAGCCTTTATAGAAGTAAAATGGGGCTAACAATAGTGCTCAATTCATAGAGTTGGTATAACTGCAATTATATTATTACTCCCATTGTAAAAGTGTGTTTAAGATATATCTATCTGTTTATAATTAGCTAGGGCTGTATACTTAGAAACCAACCTTCCAAATCATTTTGAAGATTCTTACCATTCATTTCCTAAACTTCAAGTACGTGTTGGGTAGCGGGTGCACAACCACCACTGGTGACAGATGAGACCTGTTCCAAACAAGAAGACTGCTATGCCATGGCCCATACATGTTTATAGACACAGTCTTAAATTACCAAATAAAGTCATACAAATGCTAACAAAGTTGGGTATTCTGCATATTTTAACTTCTACCACTTCACCTTAAAATGTCATATTTAAAATTATCAATGACATATTGTCTTTGCTTGATGCACTATAGTTAAAAAAATCACTTTCAAATATATTTGTTCATTTGGTCTCCCTCAACCCTGTAAAGTAACAGCAAATGAAATGATTTCCTGCTGCCTGTCTCTGCCCCCAACATGGAAGTGACACAATCAAATTTTGTTTACAGAATACAGATAAGAGACAGTAAATTATCAGTCTAGTGTTTTTCTATGAGATCATTACATTGCTGCTTTTAAAAGGCTTATCAATATTTTTCTAAAGAAGATGGGCATTCTGCACACATTTTACCTTAATCATTTAAAACCCTTTCTTCCCAACTTTTTGTCCTCATTTTTTTTAAAGATTTATTTATTTATTTATGCATACGAGAGCTGGGGTACAGGCCAGAGATACAGGGGGTGGGGGGTGAGAGGATTCACCAGAGACAGAGTGGGGAACAGAACAGGCAGACTGACTGAAATACACTCTTAGGGGAGCAGCAGGTGAGACAGTAGAGATCTGCTTTGCCATGTGGGTTGCTCCTTGGCCGGCCAGGAATTGAACTCGTGCTGCAGTGGTTGTGGATTGCTTCACAGTGCGTTGCTTAACCCCTTGCACCACCAGGGAGGCCCTGTCCTCATTTTTTTCAGAGCGGGAAGAAGGACCCTAGTCAAAGGTGTCCTTGTGGTGAATGTACATTTGCCCACACAGAACAGCAAAGCATGATCATAACTGCAGCACCTTAAAGAGCAAGTAATGGGGCTTATTAAACATCAATCACTGGATAAGCTCTTATTCATCCTTAATAAGTCAACAAATATCTGATGAATAAGAGCTCAAACATAGATTTTGAAACTAATAATGAGTTGTACCAAATTCTACCACACTTGCAATTCTGTGCTTAACCTCGTACATTTCCTAATGCATACTCTCCAAATAAAAGACTTAGGAAATACATTTAGATAAAACTAATACAATTCTAGACATTCAATAAAGGTATGAATTTACTGATTTAGAGTTTTGTTGAAATTATCATCATTTTGAATCTAAATTCAAGACATAATGGCTTGAAGGCTTTTTTTCACATCCTATTATTTTTTATTACAGAAACGGTAATGACGCTTAAGACAAAGACCAAAATAAGACTGACCCCTTGCATAATAATGCCATGAGTTTTAGAATCAACTAGAAGTAGATACTAGACTTTGTACCTACATGGAGTTTCTATCAGTTGCTTTGCCCTAGAAGCAAATCTCATTAAATCATGCTTCAGCAGAGTGGACATGGTTTTGATATTTCCTTCCCTTCATTGAAATCTTGCATGTTCTCTTCGCATACTTCCAAGGTAACAGAATCTGGCAATAGGCCTCCTCAGTGTTTTCTAACTAAGTCTTCTAATCGAGAGATGGAAGGTTGACATGTTTGAAGGGATCACGCTGTAATTTTCTGATTTTTTTTTTTTTAAAAAGTGATGAAAAAAAATATTGTCAGATGGAAACAACTGTATTTTACTTCTCTAGTACAGACCTTTAAGGGAGAAAATAAAGTGGAGAAGGATCTAAAAGATCTCTGGTGAGAGAAAAGCTGTTAAGAACACCAACGTACATTTGAATTCCTACTTAAAGAGTTCCCTTCTTCAAGTTTTCCCACATCCTACCCCACCCATGACTCTAAGTGAAAAGCTACTTATAGGACAAAATGATACATTATCTAGAGATAAATTTACAACTGACATGAGAGAATTGTCCCAGAGGCAAAATAACCTCTCCAAGTTTATTACAGTATTTTTAGTCTTATTGCATATGTTACATGCCTTTTACAAGTCAGAATTATATATATAGTATGCTCAATTTAGCAGAAGTTATGTCTATTGCTTCTCTGTTGAAAATCAGCAGCATGCAGTGCAATATTTGGTGTGCAGAGTTATTGTTTCAAAAAGTGAAAAACTACTTAAGTTTAACTGAGGAGAGAACATGATCTTTATTGGCTTATATGCAAGGTTTAATTTGGTTTTATGCAGAGTTTGCATAGTTCATGATTAGTTTCTAATGAAAAACTAGATGTGTTGTCAGTGATCGTGAGAAGATCAGGTGACAGTGGCAAACAGAAAAATCTGAAGAAGAGGCATAACTTTTAAAGTAGAAAGATCAGCAAGAACTGCCTGAAACAAAAAAAAACACAAAAAGAATTATCAACATCAGTATGCTAATCAGCAAAGAGAAGCCTATGAAATTAAGTACAACAGAAACACCATTGCAATGTAATTCCGGTCTTGACACACATTCTAAGTTCTTCAGATTTGTCCCAAGTCTCTGTACTGAAGCTATAACTTTCCTTCTTTTTTCTGAAATCTTAATGTTAGAACATGTGCAAAATGCTAAAATGCACAGCAGAAAATAACCTGGACATCAGCCTGATGAGCCTTTTTCAAATATACAAGGTAGCATGGGTTTATAAGAGGTCTAACGTTTCAACTTGCTTCTATAAATAAACGTACATTATGAATCTTAGTTCCGCTATACTAGTATAAGGAGTAACTGACTTCAGGAAATCATTTTGAGATGGAACTCGTGTTTATTCAGTTGCAAGATGCATAAACATCCTCTTCCCTTTAAACAAAGAATGTAGGCAGCTATTTTAAGGGTAAAATTTACATTTCTATGAGAGATGACAAACAGGGTAACACAATAAACTGCTATTTAATTGAACCATGTTTCAGGTATAAATCATAAAGCTGAAAAGAAACCAGTTTTAAATAATTAACTCATAACTTAAAATAAGCAAAAAAGCCTATGTCTGTTTACTACGTCATTCAAACACTGCTCTTTAACTCTCTCAACACATTTTTCTTTGTTCTATGAGCATAATACATGGACAAGAATGATAAGAAAACAATATAAACCCCAATAATTTCTATTAAGAGTTCCAGGTATCTTGTTTCCCATAATGGTTTTAATGGTTTCCATTATAAACTTGTTGACGACTCCGTCACAAGATTGTTTTCAAGAAGTTAAGGAAGTTTGAGTATTTAATATTACTTAGCTCGGAACTTATAGGTTTTACCCAGGTTCAAAAATTCAGCTCCGGTAACGTGTGTCCTATGCATCTGAGACTAAAGTGCCTGAGCCTGGCAATCTCTCAGGAACTATTTCCATCCCATCAGAGGGAAACTTATCCTTACTTCAGCTGCAGCCAATGATGTCACCTCCATCAGGTTCACTGCTCGGAAAGCAAACACAGCAGCTGCCAGAACTGGAAAAGAATGCACACTATTTCAACTGCTGACCTACTACTCATCAGCCTGACAGATTTATTGCGATGCCCACAACCCACAGTGGGAGCTCAGAACTAGTGCTTTGAAGGGTTGCATGCTGGCTTTCTGAGAGAAGGTCTATGGGGAAGGGAAATGATCACCTCTGGAGACCAATGCCTGAGGGTGAGATTATGTAGAGCCAGCCCACAGTTTGGGGAAAAAGGAAAATGGTGTTAAAAGGCCAATTTATAAATTGTTTCTTTCATACCTACAATTTAAACTTTAACAGTTTTCAAGTGGCATGAAAATCTGGTGACTGATAATTTAACGATACTTTTCATGCAGGTGTTTCTTACTAATGTAACAGGGAGGCTTCTGGAAGCTTATAGAAACTGAATTTTTAAATATATCAGATAATTTTCCATATGTATCAAGAGGTGTCCTGAGAGAAATGTGGCAATAAAGGCTTTTTTAAAAAATGTTTTTATAATATCTTGTTACATTTATGTTATTTTTTTATGTCCAGCACTGATTTTCTTAGTATCACCAATGGGCACAACTGTGGGGAAGGCTGCTGTGGGACTTATCCTGAGATTTACAGTAACGTTTACAGGATAAAAAACTTCTTCAAAAAAAGGACATCTTAACAACTGTATATGAAAAGAGAATGCAGCTAACGTGCTATCCTTCATATCTATCCATCATGAGCAAAGGAAGGACACATGGAAGAGGTGACAACTCTGATGAGGAGGTGGTGTGGCCTAGAGATGACTCCTGGCTTCTCCCCTGTTCCTCCCTCACAAGTGAGTGGTGGCAGTACTTCCCCTACTTAACAAGTTCTTGAAGTTCAAGAAATGAATAAGAACCTTCAAAATGATTTGGAAGATTGGTTCCTAAATATATCGCCACAGATAGTGCAAGTAGATCTGCATTAAAAGGCACTTTTACAATGGGAGTAACAATACAAGTAGCAATTATCATACCAACTCTATGAATTGAGTACTATTGTTAGTACTCACATTTTACTAAGGTGGAAACTGAGGCACAATGAGTTCACATGACAGGGTCAGTCACATGACAGGGTGAGTACTCAGCCTTGGCTCTGGAGCCGGAGCACCTAATCACTACATGATGACGCTACAGAAACTGAAGGTAAGCAGCAATGACTCATCCCTGACATGGAAAACTGCGGTGTTTTCCTAATCATTGTCTTCTCTATTGTCCTTCAAAATGATTTTCCAGAGTAGCATGAAGATGATGTCAAGGTGGCAAAGGGACCTGACAGGTGGGTGTCTGTGCCTGAGGAGCAGAAGCGAGGATCAAGGGCTCCAAGTTTCTCCAGAGAGAGGCAGAGTATAACCAGTGACTATGAAGCACGGGCCTTTATTTAGGACACAACAATTTTGGACAATCTGGCAAAAAAGCATTAGAATTAGTAGAGAGGAAAACCCTAGGGTAATAAAGATGGTAGTGATAAAACAAAACTTTAAAACTCAAATCAGCTGGGATTATTTAAAATGTAAGAGACCTGGAAAAAAGGCTTTACCCTTTAATTGAAAAGGAGAAAACTTAAATACTTTAAAGTCACTGAGCTCCTCTGTTTACAAGACTAACAAAACCAGTTCTGTTGACCAGTCACTTCTTTATAGTTTCCTATTATCTGCAATAATATTTGACAGTGAAGCCATTTTAGAAGCTAAGAAGCGTAATCACTACTTCCTGTTTTGCATATAATTTAACAGAATAGGTAAAAGCTGACAGGATGGTTAAATTTTCTGCTGCAGCAGGAAAGAGGCTGGAAATTGTTTTTCCAATGGTAGATAAGGGCGGGGGTGGGGAGTGGGGAGTGAGAAGATCACTTCACTAATTGACCTCAGCATCCAAAATGCTTATGTGCTCAGATCCTTTATTTATCTTGGTGTCACATCACAGAAGTTCCTTCCCATCTGCTTCATGTTTGGTTTGCCCAGCCCTGACACAGAGCAGGCTTGTTGGCCAGGAAAAAAGGCCTATATACTTTGGGATATTTTCAACTGAAGTCATGCCTTATATAAAATGTAGAAATTCTAATATTTAAACTTTTGATATTTTAAACTATTCTCATTACTTTAATTCTAAGCAATTCTACTGTGAACATTAAGGCAACTTTGCTTTAAACTATTCTACAAAGGCCTAGTTAACTAACAATTAAAGCCAGTAATATTTACTAAAATATTTCTAAAGACTGTATCATAACTCACTTGAGCAAAAGAGGTGGACCCAAAATATTCATACCCCCAAAAATGTATGAAATAATCAAAACAAATCTGTAAACATATACAAGGAATTACCTACTACTCTGAATCTTTATCTGAATCTCATCATCCTAGTTCCATTTCTATATGTTCTACAATTCTTCCCCACTGACTTTTAAAAAAAGTAGGGAAAGTGGATGAACCCAATAATGTGGATTGCATATCCTCATTTCTTATTAATCGATAACATTTCTAATTAATGGATTGAGGTTACAACAGAATGCCTGGCTTGGAGTGAATGTAATACTCATTCATTTATTGTTCTTTTACTTCATTTTAATGAGTGGTGACGCGTCACCAAAAAAAAAAATTAAATTGGAAGAGACCTTGAAAGTCTTAATTCAACATTTCTTTCACAGAAAACTTCTTAACTCTTCAAGAGACAATTAACAAGTCCATTTTAAAAGTCTGAATTATACAAAGCACTAAACCCCCTTCTTTTTGAAATGATACAAAATGATATGTACAATACACTTCAAGATTTATGACCTATCCAGAGGAGAGTTATTTGATGGGAAGTCTGAAGTCCTGTCATCTGAAAAACGGTAGCAAGAAAATAAGGTTAGTGTAGGGTAAGGTAGAAGGTATCAGGCTTTTCTGCCCTCCCGCCATTAGGACGGAACCCTGTGGTCCTGAATGCATGCCTGATGGTGGTCACCTGGAGTAAGGTGTGGACATAGGTAGATGGGATTTGACTGGGCTTTTAAGGGCGGCGTCACGGGGATGCCAGCAGAAGCCGAGAGAGAAGCAAGAGAAGCAGAACGACTGGGAGGCCTGTCAGCCTCCCGGCCCCCCAGCACCCCTGCCTGCCATATGCCTGGTGAACCCCAATAAAAGACCTGCAAAAAACCACTGAGGACTCTGACTCCTCCTTTACTCGGTCGGCTGGATCTTAGAAAACCTGCACTGTGATCCATTCCTGACCCTACAGTTAGTCTGAAAGACAGGAGACTTTGGGGCAAGAGGAGGAAGCATAGATAAAAAACCAGATGATGACCCTGCCTTAAATAGCATGTGTTTTACAAACAAGCACTTACTCTTACCTGCAAGAATTTCCAGAGAGTTGTAGCCTAAGATTCTATCCCACAAAAGCAAGAGTTGATCTGTTGCTAAGTATCCAGAGAAAGCACGGACCATCCATCTAAATGATATGCGAAGTCTACAAGCAAAGATAAAATAAATTTTACCAGTAGAATGTTTCCATACAAAAGGCAGTATCAAAAGAGCCCAGTAAGTTCTATTTTTAAGGTAAATTCTTTATGAGTCTTAGAAATCACCTGGTTGTTTAAAACTCAAGTATTCTCTTAAAAGCTGCAAAAGAGCGATGGTGAGAAACAAGAAGCCCTCAAATTCATGGTCAACATACTCAGAGGATGCACTATATCTGTGGCCCCTCCTTTATGTTATAGTTCAGCCTTTAGAAAAATTATTTCTATGCAAATGGCCAACAGACAAATGAAAAAATGTTCAACATCACTTGTAATCAGGGAAATGCAAATCAAAACTACGATGAGATACCATCTCACACCAGTGAGAATGGCACATATTAAAAAAACTAGCAACAACAAATGTTGGCGAGGGTGTGGAGAAAAAGGAACTCTCCTGCACTGCTGGTGGGAGTGCAAACTGGTCCAACCACTATGGAAAGCTGTGTGGAGATTTCTGGACCTACTAAACATAGAGCTTCCATATGATCCAGCAATTCCACTCCTAGGTATTTACCCAAAGGACACAGAAACATCAATTCCAAAGAGCACCTGCACCCCTATGTTTATAGCAGCACTGTTTACAATAGCTAAGCTTTGGAAACAACCCAAATGCCCAAAAATAGATGACTGGATCAAGAAGATGTGGTACATATATACCATGGAATATTACTCAGCATTCAAAAAAGATAAACACATGCAATTTGCAGCAACATGGATGGCGCTGGAAGGGATCATGCTCAGCGAAATAAGCCAAAAAGAAAAAGAAAAATACCAGATGGTCTCACTCATAGCAGGAATCTAGAAAACTTAAATAAGGGACCAGGAAAATGAATATAAGAAAGTGAAAATCAAAATCAACAAAAAACTATGAACCAGAGACACTTTTTGGGGGTAGGGGCGGGAGGGGAAGGATTGGGGTCAGAATGGGGCGTTTGCAATTGTATGGGGGAATATAAAAATAAAATTTATTATTTTAAAAAAAAAAAAAAAGAAAAATTATTTCTATAGTCTGCTTTTCAGGGTGTGTAATAGTTATCAATGACATGATCTTATTGTCTTAACAGTTATTATTTAAATTTTTATTAATAAATTCCTGAAAGTGTGCTTTAAAACAGCTCATTTTTCCAATTCAATAAATTATATTCTTACATTTCAAATGACCACATAGAACAATTAAAGCAACAGGCAGAAGTTTTTGTCTGATTCAAATCATTTGTTTTAAAATGAAGATTATTAGAATCTAAAAGATCAACCAATAAATTCAATTGAATTTTGTTTTGCCAAAAAAAAAAAAATCTAAAAGGCATGAGATTGCACTGTTTATAAACAGGTCATGTTACAGTAACAGTTTATCTCTGGAATCAGGAAACAAACTCTTTGGTTTTGGTGCCTTAAAAGATAAACTTCCCCTCACATTTCTGTACAATCAATAGCATCTAAACATCCTTTGACTGCCACTGAGAAAATTCTTTTCTGGAATTATTTTAATATGTAAATATCTCTGCTATTTTCTTAAAAGAGAGAAAGAGACCTAGAGATTGTCTTGGTTAGTGTCATATTAATTCTCTTATGACTAGAAAAGACCTCTGTGTTCTTATCCAGATTCCATAATACTGGATAACTATCATTCTAATATAACAAAGTACATGTAGGTAGTAGCTCTGACAAATTAGGCATTTGCTTGGTTTTAGAGTATTTGTTTGTAGAGGCCAATGAAACTTTTATCACTGGAAATTTAAAAAAAATCATTTGATAATTTTAAGTCTAAATTATTAACTTTGACTAATTTTACTGGATCTCTCGGGGTATCTTTTTAGAACAACAGTAACACATCATGCCCATATATATAGGTAGTTTAGAATCAATTTCTTAAAAATAAAGTTTATTGAGTGTAACTTATTTATAGTAAAGGTTGCTCTTATTAATAAGAACCAAACAAATACTTTAGAACTAAAAGTACAATAACAAAAACACAACTCTGACTGAATGACTCCAATAACAAAATGGAAATGACTGAGGAAAAAGTCAGTGAGCTTGAATATAAATCAATAGTAAGTGTAAAGCCTGAAGCATAGAGTAAAAAGAATTGTAAAAATAAAATGAACAGAACATCAGGGACCTGTGGGATAAGATCATTTGTGTCACTAGAATTATAGAAGTAAAGGAGAGAGCATGTGGTACAGAAAAAAACATTTTTAGAAATAATGATTGAAACACTAAGATTCAAGTAGCTCAGCAAATCCCAAACCAGATAAACACAAAGGAATTAATTCTTCTAAAACAGAACTACAAATACATGGGAAAAAATAAATATATACACCAAAGATGGAAGAAATGACAAATACATAATTATAATTGGAAATGCCAATATTTCTTTTTTAATACTCAATATACACAGTAAACAGAAAATTAACAAATATATAGAAGGCTTGAATAAGGCTTGCTTGTTCAACAAATTTTGCTTGACGTTTATAGAACATTCTGCGCCCAATGTTAGGAAAATATGAATTCTTTTCAAAAGCATATGGAACATTCACCAAGATAGATAATATCTTGGGTCATATAACAAATGTCAATAAATTTAAAAGAATTGAAATCTTGTGAAGCATGTTGTTTAACTAAAACTAAAACAGAACTAAGAAAGAAATCAACAACAGAAAGATATCAACAACAGAAAGATATCATCTTTCCAAATATTTGAAAATTAACATATTTCTGTATTACCCATGGTCAAAGAGAAAGTCACAAAAGAAATTAAGAAACAATATGAATTGAATGAAAATGAAAACACAATATAAATATAAAAATTTGTTGGCTGAAGCTAAAGAGTATTTTGAGGGAAATTTATAGCATTGTTTATATTATAAAAGAAAACAGGTCTCAAATCAATGATCTCTTTCACCTTAAACAATTAGAAAGATAAAAGCAAAACAAACCTAAGGAAGGAAAGAATAAGAACATAAATTAATGGTATTAAAAACAGAAAAAACAACAACAGAGAAAATCAATGAAACCAAAAGCTGTTTCTTTGAAAGACAAATAACATTGATAAATCTCTAGCTAGAATAATCAAGAGGAAAAAGTTACAATTATCAGTCCCAGGAATGAGAGAGGTAATGTTACTCTGATCCTATAGATAAGAGGCTAATTAAGAATCATTAGAGACTATTATAACTTTGTTCATAAATCTAATAACTTAGGTAAAACATACAAAGTACCAAAGTTCACTCAATAAGAAATAGATGACTTGAATAGTCCTATACCTATTTAACAAAATAAACTTTCAATTAAAAATCTTCCAGTAACATCAGTTTTAATTCATTTCATTCAATTCAAAAACTGATTTTAGTTTGACAACTGAATTTTTATATTTTATCCTACACAAGAATTTTAATGTATATGTCATTGAAATAAATTTTCCCCTTTAAATGATTAAAGTGTACAAAAAAATTTTAGTTGCTAGCAATAAACTAAATGACTTCAACATAATAAAGAAAAGCCTACTTATATTCAAATATTCATTTCACAATATATAAAAGAGGTCATTTTATGACAAGGTTAAGAAAAAAAGAATTGTGTATATTTCTACCACATTTTTGTTTTATAACCTCAATCATTACCAGAATTCTGTTTTTTAATGACTACAAAAGAAAGAATATCAACTCAGTATTATCACTGGTTGGTATGAGGGATTGCTTTATAAATGATATTATTAAGGCCCAAGCTGCCTGAAATTAAGTGGTACTTCACTAAACGGAAATATAAGACATTCAATCTTGACATAATTTTATGAGGTAGGAAATAAGTATCTTAATTATAAAAATGAGGGAATTAAATTATCATGATTTAAAGAGTTTGAGGCTTGGGTAAATTAACTAATTATACCAGGATTATACAGTTTAGTAGAGACAGAATTTGAATCTGGGTCTGTCTCTTCCATTCATCCACTGTCCATCTGTCCATCTGCTGTGGATTCAACTTGAAGAATACAAATACTAAACTGTTCTATTTCCCGTTACTTTCTTTTGTAGCCTCAAAAAGTTAATGCTCATTTTAAACATGGCTTCCTAAGCAGAGGAAAACACCTGACCAGAGGGGAAGACAGTAACAAAATACTGACAAATCATTTTGAAGCTTCTGCTGTTTTGGACATTGATTTAAGGAGAGAAACAAGTAACATTGTTCTGCATATTCACAGATAACTCACAATGAGATAAATGAGCAAATATTCAAACTTTTGGAAGGAAAAATAAGTACACAACCATCGGTGGGTAACTGACCTGGATTCCTTTAACGAAAGCAAACTTTAAACCAGATAAGCTTCAAAAGCTGTCCCCTGATAGATTTAGTGTAAACTGACTTAATTTTGGCATTATCACATTTCTCACGTAGTATTTGTTCCCAATAATTTTTGCCTGATTTAGCCAACACCTTTCACTATGAATAGAAATTAAGACATTTTGGTAATAAGGTTTTTATTAGGATTTTGGTAATTCTGTCAAGATTTTGGCATTATAATTTAGCATTATAATTTACTGTTATAATTTTGGCATTATAATTTAGCATTATAATTTAGCATTATAATTTACTACTTGATAATTACTGTTTCATTGGGGAAAATTTTTAGTTTAATTTTTCTGAAGAATTACTGTATCTTTGCAAGTGATTTACAGTGATGAAAAAAGAGCCTGCTGATGTCAAACAATGTATTCTTTCATTGAGAGAAAAATACTTACGGTTGAGCCCCAATTTCTCGTAGATGATAAAAGAGCTGGGGGAGATAAGTTTGAAGAAGAGTTTCAAACAGCAAACAGAGTGACACAATGCCCTGCCCAAGAGAGAGACATGTTTTAGTGTTTAAAAATGAGCTCTGCCAACAAATTACTCAAATGGAAATGTGAAATATAAGTCTTTCAAAAATATTTTAAATAAGGCCTCCCCGGTGGTGCAGCGGTTGAGCGCTGGGTTGCAAAGCTGCCCGCAGCCTCTGCAGCGCCGGTTCGATCCCTGGCTGCTCCCCGGCCACTGGAGGAGGGTCCCACATGGCACGCAGACCTCTCCTGCCGCCCGCTGCTCCCCTCAGCAGTGTATTTCGTCAGTCTGCCTGTTCTGCTCTCCCCTCTGGCTCTAGTGAATTCTCTCACCCTCCCGTGCTTCTGACTGTACCCAGTGCTTGAATAAATGAATGAATGAATAAGTAAATCTTTTTAAAAAAGTCATTAAACATTAAAAAAATATTTTAAATGTTTTATATTAAGAGTTAAAAACAGGAAATACATTAACGATTTCTCACATTGTGCTTAAAGTTAAAATTTTATTCCTCCTTGGATACCCATCCCTATGCTAGTCTCCTCTTTGATCCAATAGCATCCCCATGGAACCTGGCATGCAGTATTCAGAATTCAAGGAAAACATCCCTTCTAGAAAATCTGTTCTACTTTGCAAGCCATGTAACATCACTTAGGCCCAGCAAAATTAGTTTTTTCTGGATGCATTCCAGCTTCCAGGTATTTCTCTGGTGTTGCAGCCCCACCCTTTGCTTTCTCCTTCCACAGCCCTTCCCTTTCAGCGGCCTCACCCATGAAGCAAAATATTTCCTGCTTTTTTCACTTTTTCTTTGAAATCTATCCCCAGAGAAAGATTGCTGACTGCTTGAAATTTGCATCAGGAAGTTATCAAACAGAATGTTTAATTACTTAGTATAAAGGTAGTTTTCTGTACTGAAATCTTTTTTTTTTTTAAAGGGCATTATTTGTAGATACAAGAAGTCACTGATTTTAGCAGTGGTTTTCCAAGTGTGTTTATTACTTGACAACTCTGAATAAAGTCTTTCTTATAGCTCAGCATTCCTTATGGCTGATCTTTGTAAGGAAGTTTTAATCCTCTTTCTGAGTTTCTAAAGAAAAAAGGTTGTCATGGTTCCAAATAGTTCAGTCTGGCGGCAGTGGCAAGCCAGAAAAGGAGCCGACAGCCTTTAAGTCTTATTCCACTGGATAAAGGGCAAAGGCAAGGCTGGTCCAATCAATTAGCTGAAAATGGACACCTCAGGTTCAGCATGAAGCTGGAGGGGAATACCCAGAGCAGCTCAGTGTCCAGCTTCAGGGTCCTGTACAGGGAAAACACCAGGAGTGTGTGTGGGACAACTGGTTAAAAAAAAGTTTTTAAACTCAGAGCTTAAATTGTTATGGAATATGAGAGCAAAAAAATATGATGCTAAGCATAAAGTATTAGAAAAGAGAAATATTAACATGGTTCTAATTATTCTAGGTTAAACCTTAATGTAACATAAGCACGAAATTAGTTTGTCTCAGAGAGAAGAAACCCGAGATAATTGGTGGTCTTCATTTGTTCATCTGTGACATCCTGGATTTCTGGTTATTTGTCAACTTGTATTAGCAAAGCATAAGAGCAAAATTGGAGCTGGAGGAAGGTAGAACAGGAAGACACAGGGTTAAACTGAGGAAAGAACAGCCATTTAATTTATTAGAAGTGACACAGTCTCTCTTTGGGAAAATGTGGTCGCCTTGACACATTCCAATGTACTGTTTCTCCTGAAGTCTGTCAAGTCACCCTTAAAACAGGCCCCAAGGAGGAAAAAGTATAATGGAAATAAAACAGATACTGCTTTTACTCAGGCTTGTGGGGAAAAAAGATCTGATAAAGGACCAGCTAAAATAAAACAGATAAAAATGTTCCACTCCTGATCTGCTTCTGTGGAGACCAAAGGAGCTATCTATGGAATGAACATACAAAAACACCTAGTATGCTAACTGCCAACCATCAATAGGAAATTGACAAATAAGTGACAAATGATTGATTTTCATGAACAGAAAAAAGATGACAATGATGATAATCAAAACAAAGACAACATGTGGGGTTGGGGCAGGCCATGGACTATGGTAAAGGATTACAAGTGCTTTGGTAACAGGTAGTAGGTATGATGTGGTAACATACATCTGAAGAAGAATGTGAACCTATACCCCTAAATCACATACAGTGTTGTAAACCAATATTACCTCAATAAGAAACAACACAATTTTAAAAAAGTCTCAATTCCTTCAGGTAATTTTTTAATTCAATGTGATATATCATCAGGCATACACTATATGTGCAACACTATGGTTTCCTTAATGAGCCCAACTTGTTGTTTGTACTTTATTTTAATTCCATACCTAAGTTTAAATTTAATATTCATGATTCTTGTTTTATAAAAGTGATTACAGGTTATTATATGTTTTATTTCTAGGAGAATGGGCCTAGGTTTTAGAATTGAATACTGACTTGGCTCCTAATTGTGACTTTGGTGTAATTTACTGAATCTCCCTGAGTCTTAGTTCCTTTATATTTTATACACACACACACACACACACAATATTATTAGGATATTTGGACAATTAAATTAATGACATCATTCTCTCAAATCTCTAAGCTTTTTTGGTAGTATAAGAGTTGCTAAGTGATTTCTGTAAAGATTTGTTTGTGCAGGGTACCACTATTATAGAGAAACAAATGGTTAGGAGAGTGCTGATGATTTGACATTGATATACAAATTTAAGATGGCTGAAATAGTAAATTTAATGTTATATGTATTTTATACACACAAAGACAACTTAGTACAGTCTAGGTCAATATCATTTTATTTGTAATTGGCTGGAAAATGTGCTGAAAAATTTGAGGCATCTCACAAATCTTTGTGGTGCTAATGTTCCTTTTCATCAGGCAATTTGCTAAGGGAAGAGATACTTTAATGTTGGGGAATCAACTTGTCTTGGTATGCCCAAGTCTTTCCTGGTTTCAGTACTGAAATGTACACACACACACACACACACACAGAGAGAGAGAGAGAGAGAAATAGAAAGCTCCCTGGCTGTTGTATATATGCATGATCTATCTATCTATCTATCTATCTATCTATCTATCTATCTATCTATCTATCTATCTATCTATCTATCTATCTCATCTATCTCTCTCTCTACCCACTCAGCCACACACCTATTTGTCTAATTTTATATCAGATTTATTTGAAGAATTTGATTCACATGATTTTGGGCTCTGGAAAGTCTGACACATGCAGGGTAGGCCAGCAGGCTGGACGTTTAAGAAAGAGTTGATATTTCAGTCTTGGATCTGCAATCTGTAGACCAGAATGGCACGGTGGAAATTTAGTTGAAAACTTTCTGTAGTCTTGATGTAGCATTTCTTCTTCAGCAAACCTTTGTTTTTTCATACTTAAGACCTTTAACTGAGTAGATAAAGCCCACTCACATTATGGAGTATAATTTCTATTTAAAGCCAATTTATTGCAAATGTTAATCACAGCCATAAAAATCTTCTCAGGAATAACTAGACTAGTGGTTGGTTAAACAGTTAGGCACCATAACCTCATCAAGTTGACACATAATCATCAGTTACCTTACTTTAAATGATTCTTGAAAACTTTGATGTCTAAAACCTTATAATCTTTTTTTAATAAAGTTTTTTTTTTAAAGATTTATTTATTTATTTATACAAGCACTGAGTACAGTCAGAAGCGCAGGATGGTGAGAGAATTCACCAGAGCCAGAGTGCGGAACAGAACAGGCAAGTGATGAAATACACTGCTGAGGGGAGCAGTGGGGAGCAGGAGAGGTCTGTCGTGCCATGTGGGACCCTCGCCGGCAGCCCGGGATGGAACCGGCGCTGCAGAGGCTGCAGGCAGCTTTGCAACCCAGCGCTCAACTACTGTGCCACCAGGTGAGGCCCTAAAACCTTATAATCTTGAGGAAGCAATGGAAATAAGATATTTCAAAAAGAAATCTATGAAAAAATACGAATATTGGTGGTATACTTTTCAGGAAAAATTATCAAGATACCTTTTTTAAAAAAAATAAAATTGGCAGAGAATTGTGAATATTATTATTTCAGCGTACTGAAATCCTTGTGTTTATAATTACAGAAGATTTGATTCATCTGAAATTCCACATAAATGTACAAAACAGGTTAAAGATGGTTGCGCTTTATATTATGGTACATGAATTACTGCTAATAACTATTTTTCAAAAACAGACATTACAGTGCTGGACCAAAGAGGCAGTGAGAGGGGGCATTAGGAACACACTCTCCAGAATCAAGGATTTGAATTTAAATCTTTTGCTTGTTTTTACTAATTGTTTAGGGGACTTGGTCAAATTATTTAATTTCTATAAGTCTCAGTTTAATTACATGTAAAATGTGTTTTTACCATTATTATGTTTGTTGGAAGAAATAAATAAAGTACCATGTTCCTGATTCAAAAAAAAAAAAAGAAAGACAACAACAACAGCAGTCACTTACTCACTGAATCCCAGCCTTGAGCCAAGTACATCTTCTCCCTAGACATCTTTCAGCACTATAGTAACATACTACGAACCTCGTTTCATACATGAGGAAACCAGCAGTCAAGGAGAAAAATATGGTTATTCCTATGGCTTCTTTTAAAAATAAAAGATAATTTAAATGCATAGGTATCTATTTTTTCTTTCATTTAGTCGCTAGAAATAAGTTGCTTGACATTATATATTAAAATCTGTTGCTTTAAAACTTAATTGAGTAGGAGACTTTTTAAAGGAAAGAATGAACAGATTAAAGTATGATTTGATCCATTTTTTTATGAACTTACAGAAGGATGAGAAGAGATGGAATGGAGCCTGAAGAAAAACCTCACGTACATCTCACGGAATATCTGATACAATTTGGAAGGCTCATGGTATAGAAAGCAAAGTGGTGCAACTGAAAAACAAAAAGGTGATTGATAATATTGCAGAACTACTAACATTTTAAAAATAAGCTTATGAAACATGAAAGAATAAACAGTATTTTATAGTAATATTCACTCATAAATTTAAAATCATATCTATATTAGTTTTTCATGTTGAAAGAGGGAACATATGCACACATAATTAGTTCAAATAGGCATTCAAAATTATAAAGAAAAGAATAAATTATGAGCTACTATAATCCCTAATCCAAATTTAACAGTAGAATAAGAATGACAGAATGGAATTACATAAAGATATTAAAAATTCCAAGTAACTTCTAAAAACTACATAAAGTCAACTCTCTTAAAAAAAAATTGAAGCAGTAAGAAAGCAATAATCAGACAATTAACTTTTACTTTGTTTTGTAAAGAATACCGGTTACTTTATAAGATTTTTCGTTTTTGAAGACTGATGAGTAAAAGATAAGATGTTTATGGCTCACTTTAAGGCTCATGATCTTCAACTAATTCAATTTGAAAATAAAAATTTTGATTAACAGTTTAGACTCATTGGTCTACACTGGCATATCTCATTATGTATCAAGAGAGTCTTTACAGACTCAAAACAACTCTCCGGCAGTCATTAAATTCAGTTTTCTTTTGCACCCAGTTCTTAGTAATCAAGCCCAGTTGGAGCAACTCAACTGAACACCCAACAGCTGAATGTCACAAAGTCCAACAATGTAAGTGGTCTTGTTCTGACAAATAAGGCCATGCATTTCATCTTTTTAAGCCTCAAGAATATGAGGCAGCATTGGCATATTTATAATGTGGATTCATAAACCGCATTATAATAATTTTAATAAAAAGTGACATACTTATCGGCCAATTCCAACTATGAAATAAACTGTACAGGTAAGAAGTTCTGGGGTTCCATAAACTGTCATTACTGTCATAATGACACGAGGCATTAAGTACGCAGAGGAACCAAGGAGCCAATTCAGCTCACTTCTTTTGACAAAGTGAAAGGAAAATTAATGAAATCCTTTACATTTTAACAAATACAAAAATTCAATTATCTGTGATAAATGGAAGTGTTCATCAGTATTGCTGATGACTAAATAATTAAAAATTAGCATTGCAAGTGACAGGCAGGAATCAATGATACATTTTGTACCCTGAGAAATGTTAGAAGATTGAAACTTTCTTGACATTGTTATCTGTCCATCAGATCACTCAAGTATACCTTTTAAAACCTATTTACTTGGAAAATACTTGCTGCTGGAATTATTAAAATAGAGTAATAAAAAGATAACAATAATAAAAAAGCATATTTTATTATTAAAGGTAAAAATTCATATTCCCTTTTTTTCTCAACTTCAGTTTTAATGGGGTATGACTGGCAAATAAAATTATAAAATATTCGAACTGTATATCATGATTTGAAAATTTATATTTTTTATTTTTGAAAATTTACATTCTTAACATTTTCAGGTTTTCCATTTTAAATTCCTCACATCTTTATAAGAGAGACATAAGACAAAATGTCACTATAACTATGTATATTGTGTTAGGGAGTTCTGATTTCCCAAGAGAATAAAGCAGAGTAGCCTATAATTCAGCACCATCAAGGGGAGCTCAATGCAAAGTTCCTAGTACTTCCAATGCTTTTCACTATTTGCTAGTTTTAAAAACTTTATGTCATTCACCATGGTTGATGTTGAAAACAAGGGTTTTTTCTTTTTTTCTTTTTTTAACAACGAGACGTGTTAATTTATTGCTGATTCTTTTTTACAGAAAGTAAAACATTAAAGTATTTTTGTATAGTGTCAAGGGTGGAGAGTAGCTATAATGGGGACGGCAGTCTTCAAGTTTCTATTCAGTACATGGAAATTTAAAATGAAGTGGCATTAAGGTGTAGAGCATTCTTCCTCTTGCTAACCCTCAGTAGGCTGCTGCATTTCCCATTCGATGGTGCATGAGGCCAGGCACTCGGGGTCTTAGACCACAGACCACACACACGTTCTCACGTCTACCTCAGAGGACCGGCTGTGTCAGGATAATTGTAGCTGTGTATGCCAGTATTCTGGAGAAACCATGAACTCAAACTCAGTGTTGTCCTTCCCTTCACATACTTTCTGACCTATTATTTTTAAAAAAGACTTAATGAGAATTAGTTCAGGAATTGAAAGGCCTCATTTTACACTTACTCGAACTAAATATTTAGGTGTTTCTCTAGTTACCATGGGACTAGAAACTGTAAGCCACAGAAGCATTTTCACAGTATGTTCTAATTCTAATTTGTCAAGCAATCATCATCTGAGCAATTATGGTTTTAACACTTTACTTGAATTTCTTTAAGTAAAAAATTTGGACGTATAGATGCTAATCTTAATGTTTAATACACACTTGTTAAGTGTGTGGGTGTTGTGATATAAAGTGTGATCTTCACGTTTAGTTTTCTAAAATGTAATAAAAACAGTGAATATTTTAAAGTCCAACTTACCATACATTGAAAATCCATGAAAAGGAATTACACCTAAAAACAAAAAGTATTTCTTTTCAATTAGCAGACTGAATTTTTAGGTAAACTTTAAAGGATTAAAACCCAAAAATAGAAACATTTCCAAAATTTTTGCTTCCACTTTGGTCATGAAAGTCAGAAAGGCCTAGTGATGCTAGTCAACAAAAACGCATGCTTTTTAATGATTTTAGAGAAGCAAATTAGAGGTTTTCAATATACAACCAGTTAAATCTATATTGATCAGGTTGAAAATTATAACTTTGAATATATGTTACAAAAAGCCAGGACAACATCACAACAAGGTAGATCACAGAATTAAGCTTAAGAATAATTATAATGGTCACTAGATTATGTCCTCTCTGAAACAACTTCACCATGTAATTATAAAGTCAATCTGTTAAAAGTAAGTGAGCATTTCAAGCCATCTCCTTGGATAGATGGATTCCTTTATAAACTTACCAAAACATTATATCATAAGATGTGGCCTAGAAAAAATATTGACAGGAATATGATGCAAATTCAGTGTAAGCTTTGGCTAGAATTGTACACAAGAACACATTCATATTCATAGGAATACTCGAAGGCTAAGAGGCTGTACTAAACATCTTGTTACATTCTAAGAGAAAAATTGGAATTTGTATAGTTTAAGTTCAAAACAGAATCTCTGTAATAAATAGCACTGTTCATCGAATACTAAGTCAGGTTGCAAACACAGTCCAGAAGAAAGCTGAGTTTGCTTTTTTTGAAAAATAGTATAGAAATGCTTTATTCATCTGACATGTTCAGAGGTAAAATCCCAGTGTTGTTAGGAACTAAAAGTCCAGTTCTACAGGCTTATATTCTTACCTCTATTACATTCTCCTTTGGTGAACCATTCCAATTTGAGATAATCCTTAATTCTCATTGTTATTTAATGTTTCTTAGAATATCCCTATATTCTTCCACATTACTACATTACCATATTACTTATGGAATTTGATAAGTACACTATGTCCTCATCTAAAGCATCATAAAAATTCTGAACAAGACAGGGTGAGAGCAGAACTTGTCACACTAGAGACCTCTTTCCATACTGACAGTAATTCATTAACCAACACCCCATGGTGCTAAGTTAAGAGGACAGAACAGTTGTCAGTTAGACTGGTTGGGTTCATGTAGCTACACTTAAGAGCTGTGTGTGTTTTGGGGTAAGTTTCTTAACTTCTCTAAGCTTCAGTTTCCTCATCTGTAGATCAGAGATAATGCTAGAACCCATATATGGCATGATTACATGTGATAAAGGCTATCGCTTGACCATTAATCCACAAATAGCTTAAGACCTTCATAAATGTCATTTATTGATATTACTATTCATAAACCAACTCTTTTTCTTTTTTGGTTCTAGAAGTAATCTATCAGAGAAGAGCATGCAGACAATCCAGGAGTATTCTGAACCTGTATACCAGGCCAGTCATCTTTAGAATTCTATTCAGAATCACTCTCAGGTTTCATAAGCTAAAATCCTCAGGATCTACCTTTTCCTAATTTCCCTGGTCTTCTAGGAGACATCATGGATTCATGTTGTTCAACTTTGCTTACATCCAGTGTTGCTTATCAGTTTCCTTGATCATTCTATTTGATTTGTCATCCTATTCTTTCAAAACTTTCCTACTCTTCAAATGCAGAACTCCCTTCCTTCTTAGGAAGGGAGTGACATGAACTCCCTCACTTGTTCTTTACTGCAAATGTTCTTTACTGCAAATGTTCTTTACATTTTTCATTTTTTCTCATTTCCTTTTGGGGAGCTCTTCAGAGGAAGACATAGCCCTGTCCGAGTTAGAACAGAGCTAGAACATTTTCACATGTGTACCTTCATCCTGTTTCCTTGACTTCCATAGGGGTTGGTTTGTTTTTGTGTAGCCTGTGAGCTAAGAGTGGCTTTTACGTTTTTAAAGGATTATTTCAAAAACAACAAATAAAAATAAATGACAGAGACTGTGCCAGGCAACATTTAAAATATTTACTAACTGGCCCTTTACTGAAAAATCTGCCAACCTTTGTTTTGGGATCCTGCCCCATCAATTCCTCTCCCCACCTCCCTCCCCCACCATTTATGTGCATCATATAAATGTGTGTTGAGTATCTATTATCTAAATGTGTGTTGAGATGCTGTTCTAATAACTAGTTTTACTTTTTATTAGGGGCAGAAAAATGAAAATAGGAGACTATATGTCAGATAGTGCTAAGTGCTCTGAGGGAAAAATAATAAAGGGAAGGGTGATGGGAAAGTCTTGCTAATAAAGAACCACTGGAGCTGTAGAGTTATTGATAAGGGATGACCAGAAAACCCTGGGCGTCATGCGGTGATTGACACAAATAGGAATAAGTTTATTCAGGTTAGCTGATCTAAAGCAGGAAGTGGTGTTGTTTTCACTCCTGCTAACGGAGGAGTAGAGAGAAGAGATGGGTGGGTCCTATCAAAATACCCATATATTTGGTCCCTCCTATTTCACTGCAAACGTTCAGCCAAAGAGATTATAAATATGAAGGATAAAGAGGAGGAGGAAGTGGGCCTCCCTGGTGGTGCAAGGGGTTAAGCAACACACTATGAAGCAATCCGTAGCCTCTGCAGCACAAGTTCAATCCCCGGCCGGCCAGGGAGCTACCCCAATGGCACAGCAGACTTCTCCTTTCTCTCCTGCAGCTCCCCTCAGCAGTGTATTTCGGTCAGTCTGCCTGTTCTGTTTCCCACTCTGTCTCTGGTGAATCTTCTCACCCTCCAATGCCTCTGGCCTGTACCCCAGCTCTCGTATACATAAATAAATAAATCTTTAAAAAAAAAAAAAGAGGGGGAAGAGGGGGAAGACAGAGGGAGTGGGAGCAGGGGCACCCCAGAGGGATTCTCATAAATGTCTGTGATATAAATATGTGATGCCCTAGAGAACCTACCTCTACCACTTTTTAGCCACATATTTCCTTTTGGTCAGGGCCTTAAGCAAGGCTCTGTGAACTCTTACCCAGGGTATTCAAAGAGTCTCCTAATATCTCTTTCCTGGATCTCTCAGCCCTTCTACCAGCTTTTGTAACAGTTTAGGTTATCTTTTAAAAATGTTGACTTAAACATGACAAAGACCTCTATGTCCAGTGAGGATTAGCTGATGACTATTCATCCATCCACCTACTCACCAGACCAATGTTTAAAAACTTAATCTGTAGCCTCTGGAGATATTAAAATAAATATGACATTTTCCCATATTTATGGAATTCACATTCTAGCTGCATATATTATTGGCTAAGTGTCAGCAGAGTGAAATTGACAACTTTTGATCTAGTCTTAACCATTCTTGATGGCAACCTGAGACTCTAGCCCAGGTTTGTCGCCATCCCTTTGTCATGCCATCCCAACTCCATATCCCCCATGGTACAGCTATGTTTCTTATCACCAAAACTCACCAAGAGCTTTCATATTTTTATAGTTTTAAACTTGATTATTCTGTATCCTGAAATTCCTTTTTAGATCTAGACAGCCTATTAAGACCTTAGTTAGGTCAGGTACAACCTCACAGAGACATATCTTGATTTTTTAATCATAATTAAATACTTTTCTGTAGTCTCATGGCACTTTGTTCATATTACTATAATTTTATTAAGTTGTATGTTATAATTAGGTGTTTGACAGATTGCTGCAGAAGATGAGAATGTATTCTATTCATCTCTGCACACATTTCATGATATTGTGAACATAGTTGATAATAAATAAATACACGTCTATTAAATAAATGAATGGGTGCATGGGTAAGTAAATGACGAAAATTGAGGCAACAAGAGAAGAAGTTTGGTTTCTATTCAGGAGATCTAGATTCCATGTGGATTCATCAAAAGCCAGCTGAGTAGGAAAGTTGCTGAACCTTCTGAGCCTCAATAACTTATTGTCATGCAAAAGGACTAAAATTGCCCCTGAAATATCACTGAGCTCTAACATTCTGTGTTTAACAATTCTGACTAGTGGATATAAAGAAAAATTTGTGAAATTTGAAGAAAACTGGACATATGAGGGTCTTCTAATGGTAAGGTTCTTTACGGACTGAAAGGTCTTTTACTTTACAGAAAGTGAAAAAAATCAAACCCAAATCAATTCACAATGAAAGTCAATATTCCTAATGACCAGACAGCCTCCAGCTCCACGGAGCACTCAGATGTAGGGCCAAAAGACCATCATCTTCTCTGTTTACAGCTTTAGTTGAGTCTATTTTTTCTTACCATGAAGGCCCATCTTTTCTACTGTCCTTCTTTGTTAATTCATTTTATTCCCTTTATTGATTATAGACTCTTAACAAATAATTATTAAAAGTCTTATCTTTTTAACTTTTCTTCAATAATCATGTTAATATGTAGAAGACCAAAAGTGGGGAAAACATTAATATGTAGAAGGCATACTTTGATGCCTTACAAAAATTAAAGTGCATGGTAAACCTCAAAGAAGATTGCTATTATATAAAACTCATATATTCCTTTTTTTTTAAGATTTTTTTAATTTATTTATACAAGAACTGGGGTACAGGCCAGAGGACGGGAGGGTGAGAAAACCCACTAGATACAGAGCAGGGAGCAGAACAGGCAGAAGGACCAAAGTACACTGCTGAGGGGAGCGGCGAGCGAGGCAGGAGAGGTCTGCTGCGCCATGTGGGAATCTCCCTGGCTGGCCGGGAATCAAACCGGTGCTGCAGAGGCTGCAGACAGCTTCACAGCGTGGTGCTCAACCCACTGCACCACTGGGGAGGCCCAAAACTCATATATTCTTATAACATAAATACTTGCCTTCCTCTGTTAAGCTGTTACAGAAATACTGGAACAAGCCGGCTAAGGTAGTCAGAAATAAAGACTTCTAGTATTATTTTCACCTTCTGCAAATAGTGACTTAGGATCTGCTAAGTATAGGACATCTTAGGACAAGGAGTTTCCAAGAAGAAAGTTTATAGACAGTGAATTAGTGAACTGCTAAAAAGCAAAAGGTAATGCATGTGTTAAGATGAATT